GGGGTTGGGGCATGACGCGCGCGGGCCGCGAAGGCGGGGCGGGGCGGGCCGTGCATGGCAAGCGGGGCCTCTGACCTGTGAGCATGGTAGAAGCGAGGCTGCGGGCGGCCGCGTCGGCGGCGTTGCGGGTGACACGCCGTCCTCCGACTTCGCGCCCGGCCACGTCGCCGAGAGGAGCAGCAGCAGGAGGCCTGCATACGCCACGTGCTGGCATGAGCGGGGCATTCCGATGTATCACTGCAGAATCAAGTGGCCTCATCCAAGGGCCTTCCAAGCCCACAACCGGGGTCCGGCCTTGCTTCCGATGTCCATTCACACTAGCGGGTCGAGGGACAAGACGGTCAATTAAACAATGTTTGAGCGGCAACTGAATCGAGATCTGGACATCATTGGTGTAGGCAAGCATCGGAAGCGCCGGAACAATCAAACTAGGGAGGACTCACAGGGGCACTGGTGTGCATGGAATCCGCTTTTGTTCGCCGCGATCGTCAGCTTTACCCCTTTTGTTGCTGAAAGCCTGTTTCAACAGGTCAAAAAGACCAGCATCAAGGCCTAGCCTCCCTGCAAGGCGGCCCACCCACTCCCCAGGTGCGGCCCGCGGGCTGGCAGCAGCGCGTATTGTTGCAAAAAATCTTGATTACAACAGGAAACTTCGCGAGGCTAGTCCGCTGGCCTGAAACACCAGGGGCAGCGCGCCGCATTGGACGCAGCCCATCGCATCCAGTGTGATCAGGCGCCAGGCCTGCAGAGGCTTGTGCCTTTTCGTTGTATGCACCATTCTGAATTGTGGGAAGCGATGTAGAAGGGCAGTGCGGAGCTAGGCGTCACATGGACCCGCTGCGCAGCATCGCGGCCTGCGCACTGCCTGGCGCTGCCGCTGCGCACGGCGCAGCCGCCGATGGCCGTCGCCCCTTGGGGCATGCGCGGCAGCGTGCCCAGCGCGCATCCATTCGCATACTGGGCATCAGCTGCCACCTGCGGCCGCGCGGCGCTGCCCTCTCCTTTCGGCGCACCCACCCAGCACTGCCCCATCCCGTTCCCTCTGCGCCGCGCTTCGCAGGCCCCGCCCCCGCGCCCGCCCCCGCCGCAGCCATGGCCTCTGAGGAGCACCACGAGACGTTCGAGAGCACCGACGCCGGTGCGTCTCTGACTTACCCCCAGCAGGCGGGCACCATCCGCAAGAACGGGTTCATGGTCGCCAAGGGCAGGCCCTGCAAGGTGCGCGCGCGCGCTCGTTTAAACAGGAGCCGCGACAGCTGCGGCCGCTTGCATGTGCGTGTGTTAGGTTCGTGTGTATGCATGCATATGTGCGTGCGTCGACGATTACCGGCACCTGCACCGAGCATCTCGCACGCACGGACAGCCACTGCACGGCTGGACCCCTACCCCGCCTGTCGGCGCCCGGGGCCACCCCGAACGAAGCCCCCCCTGCCCCCTCCCCTTCCGTCGGCGACCTCCCGCGCCGCAGGTGGTGGACGTGTCGACCTCCAAGACCGGCAAGCACGGCCACGCCAAGTGCAACTTTGTGTGCATCGACATCTTCACGGGCAAGAAGTACGAGGAGATGACCCCCTCGTCCCACAACATGGATGTGAGCGCACAGGGAATTAGGATTAGGATTAGGATTAGGAGTGTTACAAGATCCCGTGGTCGCCTGCTCCTGGAGCCATCCAGGCTCATGGGATGTGACTTGGCATCATCAGCATTGCGTGACAGGGATTTAAGGGGCCACTGTTCGCCGTTCAAAGCAAGCGTGCACAAAGGCCCTGAGTGTATGCTGGTCCGCAGGGGGGACAGGGGGTGAGGGCATGTTGCGGCGCTGCGGGCGGCGGGATTTTCGAGGCGGTGCGGGGCCTCTGGCGGCGACCAGCGCCGGCGGCGCGGCCAGGAGCAGCGGCGTCGGCTTGGCCCGCGGGCCCACGACGGCGGCGGCTGCGGCGCAGGCCAGTGCTGGCGGCCGGCGGTGACTGGGGGCCCCCGGCTCAAGGGCCGATGCGAGGCCGCCTGGGGCCGGTCGCGCGCCGCAGCCGCCCGGGCCCGGCCCAGCCGCGCCTTCGGCAACCTTCCCCCTTGCAATCGCACACCGCCGCCCGCCCCTCACGCC